CCCCTTAAGCCGGCACTACAGGTAAGAAATTCTTATGGATGCCTTCAGCTGAGGCCAGTCTGCTGCCCACAAGCAAGATAACGGTGACACGGCAATCAGACAATGATGAATGAGCTGTGATAGGCACGGAAAATTGCTCTGTGGTGGCTTCTGAAGTTTGGTCCAGGGACTCAATATATCCAAAGTGAAATCAAAGCTTTGTGCTCATCCAATTCTTCTCATATATACTCTCTCTTTCTACAGTGAAAACATTGTCTCAGTTGCAATCAGACCGAACCCAAACACAAACACATGGACACACATATTCAGTCTTCCCCAGCTCCCCTTTAAAATGTGACATTCCAAATGAATCACAGTAAGGACCAGCAAAGTGTGCCAAGATGCCCTCCCTACGCCATAAGAATGAAGCTAATAAGCTAGCCACTCAAAAAAAAAAAAAAAAAAAAAAAAAAAAAAAAACATTAGCCCAATTGCCTCTTCTTACAACCCACTTAGTGCCTTATTATCTGATTCAGTGAAGAGGAGGAGCTGAGTGACTGACAAATCTCTAAAGCACAATCAGGAAAGAATGCAAAACACATGAAGCTGTCAAAACAATGAGTAATTTCTTTAAAAGGTAGAAATAAACCCAAAAAAACCTTGTCTTGCGATAAAAAATTTGGACATTTTATTAACTATAAAAATAAAATGATCAATAATTTTGCACAGCAGCTTTTTAATAATGCTGCATTATAGTTTTATGTTGGGTGGTGGCTCTATCTGATTTGATGAGAATGTTCTGACTGAAAGGAAAATGTGTTTGTATTTTTAATTTGTGACGTAAAAACATTAATGCATGAACCAATGACCGGACATTTCACTTCACAACCTTCTGATTGGAAGCAGAATAAATGTTCTTTTCAATTAAAGACATTTATAAAATAGAGATTAAGCCCCAGACCCTCACATCACCAACACCAGGTTTAACTATTGGTATGATGTTCTTTTTCTGAAATGCTGTTAGTTTTACCCTCAATGTATCTGAATGCACATCTTTAAATGATATCAAATAATACTCTACTTTTGCATCACAACTCTCAAAAAAAATTCTCAAAAACCACTAAAGAGGTTTGGAAAATTGAAGCTAAAGCCTTATGTTTGGTCAACAGATCTACCAGATTTTTTTTTGGTGCAGAGTATTTTCTTTTTTATTCTGAAACCTTAAAGGAATAGTACACCCAAAACATGATTAGCCTTCATTTTCTACTCACCTCCATGCTGAACAACACTCTGGAGTACTTTTTTGATATCTCAAATGCATCTGGAGATCTGGGAGGCTTCTTGCTGTCTGCTGACATTCAAATAATGGAGGTCCATGGCGCCCGAGACAGAAAGGTCCATAAAAGTCCACAAAAACGTGTCAATATTCCTCCATACTGCTCGTCCAATGTAATCCAAGTGTCCTGAGTGGGTAGCATCCAGAATTTACTCGAAACGAAGTCATTTAGAATGTTTTTAGAGCATAAACAGTAGTGTATAGGATTTCCTAATAGCGCCCCCATGCGCGCTCACGATTCTACGGAAGCCGGCAGACCAAACCGGAAGGAAGTGCGCATTCAGCGTCTGGTCTGCCGATAATGCAAGCGTAGAAGAAGAAATGTGCTGTTTACCTGTGCAAAGAAAGAAACAACGAAAGAAAAATGTCTGAGGACTTCAGTGTTGAGGAAGAGCATGAGTTCTTTGCCGAGCTGAATGCGCTGGTTTGGTCTGCCGGCTTCCGTAGAATCGTGAGCGCGCATGGGGGCGCTATTAGGAAATCCTATACACTACTGTTTAGGCTCTAAAACGTTCTAAATGACTTCGTTTCGAGTAAATTCTGGATGCTACCCACTCAGGACACTTGGATTACATTGGACGAGCAGTATGGAGGAATATTGACAAGTTTTTGTGGACTTTTGTGGACCTTTCTGTCTCGGGCGCCATAGACCTCCATTATTTGAATGTCAGCAGACAGCAAGAAGTCTCCCAGATCTCCAGATGCATTTGAGATATCAAAAAAGTACTCCAGAGTGTTGTTCAGCATGGAGGTGAGTAGAAAATGAAGGCTAATCATGTTTTGGGTGTACTATTCCTTTAAACACTGACAATAACTGTAAAAACTAAAGCCTATAAGGATTTAGAGGTTGTTCTGGTTTCTTTTTTGACTTGCTGGGTTTGTTCTTAATGTACTTCTTGGTCTTCTTAGGGCTGACTCCTGCTCCTGCTAAGGTTCTTCTATGGTATTCTCCATTTGTGGATGAGGGCTCTCTGTCATGGTATTGGCTCTGATTACTGTCTTAATTACTAATTTCATCCACCTGTCTAATTCTGCCTGGTTGCTCATGACATCTCATCTGATCCACCTGCTCCTGCCTCATTTACGGAGCTTGCATCCAGTTATTAGTGCCAGATTATCCAGTGGTCAGAGTGTTTTTAGAGTACCTTGGTGTTTCTGTTTTCCTTAACCTGACCTGTTCGGTCACTTTTTCACATTGGGTCAATTTGGATCAGATAGTGTTTGCCTGTTAATAAATCAAAATATCATTTATTTTTTTATTTTATTTACTTTGGTAAACTTTGCCTCATATCAGAAACATATTTGCATAACAAATAAAGGAACCAATAAGTATCAGATACTTTACATGGCAAATTACATAGATTTCAACTTCAGTATTTTCAGTTCAACACTTACTTTGCAGTTTTCTAATTTTCAATAACCAAAAGCAAACATAAAGGAATAAAATGTTTTTTTTCAAGCGTAAATATCACCATCCATCATTTATTTAGTTTTGTAACTGCTAAAGTGCCAAAGTACTTTCAATGAAAAAAACTTCTCATTGGGCTAATGGATTTATGCTGAATGTGGTGTCTCCTTTAATGGCCGCTCATATTAGATCTAATGTTACCTGATTACTGTGCCATCTTGTGTGTCTTTAAAAGTCATTAGTAAAGACCAAAAATCTATTTTGTTGTTTACGGCCTAAAGCCGAAACACCGTGTTTGTTGACGCCTTGAGCAATAGCTACTTCTGGTATGAAAAAAATATTTCATGATCAATACTGAAAAAAAAAGTTTAACTGAAATTTCTTAGAATGTAATATTTATAAAATCAAATATTTCAAAATCTTCCTTAGAGCAATGAGAACACAGCAATGAGAAAGGATCTGTAAGTATTTTGTCTTTGTTTTACTTTTTTAAGCCACAAAAGCCAAAATAACAACAACTTTCTTTTCTAATTGCACTGCAAGGCTTCTTGGAAGATATATTTATATTGACAATACCTTCAAATCCATACGTGGAATTTCTAAATTTTAGAAAATTAGAAGAAAGCATAGCGAATTTTACGTCATGCCGATGAAGATGCTCAGTAGAATTATAGTGAGGAAACTGGTGAATTATTCCCAAACTGTTTAGATTTGGTCCCACAAATGATGCAACCCTATTATAAAAATATATATTGGAGATCCATAAAGAACTGTTCCTAACAATTGTTTTTAGCCATTCCAATTGCCATTTCTGTATTCAGTTGAAACATTTATAATGTAATTGTGCTTTCAAAGCTAACATTTTGTTAAGTTGTTTTTTCAGACAGAATTAAATATCTAATCATGTGCTGATTTATAAACCCAATCAGGACAAAATATGGGAATTATAGATTTTTAGAATCGAGAGAAACATCCACATGCAAACTGCATATTAAAACAAACAAGCAAAAGGAATTAGCATCTTGTAGTGTAAATCTCCACTTTAATTCTTTCTAGCAAACAACACAGTGAATGAATACATCATAACTATTTAAAACATAAATAAACCCTATATAGGGATTTTGAGTCACATTGATGTTTTTTTTGGAGTGGGGCCTATTTAAAATGAACCAAACTGTAGTGGAAAGCTGCTCTGTGGTCTGACAAAGATCAACACTTCACTGATTTGGGAAAAAACATGGACATCCTCCAGACAATCCAGACAGATAATCAACAGTTAGAATCAGGGATGGAGCAAAAGTGTACAAGCCTACCTTTCATCTCAGAGAAGCTGCCAGTAACGTTAAAGTATATACAGCTTTGGAAGCCAACCATACTGCAAATATCTTGAAAGGCAATACCAAACAAAACTCAATACATTTTAGAAATGAAAAATTCTAAGTATGTCTTTGAAAACGTTTGATACTCTATAAAATTAGGCTTTCAGATGAGGTAGCCTGGAGATCTTCAATTTTCACATTAAAATGGAGGAAAATATCCATAAACTTGGTATTTTTTAGCGAGCTGAAAAGGAATCAGGATATATTTTGTACATTTATAAAATTAAACCATAACAACGTCACCCTTAAATATCAGTATCTGCATGCCTTGTGCCTGTTATTTTGATATGTTAACAGGAAAAAAACTTTTTAAGAAATTAAGATATAAAAGACTTAATTAGTATAATGAATTTATAAACTGTGCTGGATTTTCACTCAGCGGGGATCATTTAGAAAGATAGACATACTTGTAAAGCAGCTATTATGAGGAAAGTTCCTGTTTTACATATAGTGTAAAGTATTTATTGTATGAAGATGATTAAAAATACGTTCAAAGTGTAGTTTGTTTTCTAACAGCAGACAATGGACTTTAACGGCTCCCTCAAAACTGATGGCTTCAGTTGAGGACAAACTAAATAAAAGTTGTATTTTATACATGAGCTATGATAGCAACAGAGGCTGAAGATGGTTGAAGTGGTAAATTACAAGCTCCTGCTGATAAACTGTGATGTAGCCCCATCTGAGGTACTTGGGGTACAACAACAGAGCAGCCACAGCTCCTCTGATCCCAAGAGGGCTGAGTTTGGATCTGAGAACACAAAATGGGTTTTTGATATGGTAATATTCTGCCGACAACAGAATGTCAGCCACATGTAGATCAGCCAGGGACTTGAGCAAACACAAAAGGCACCAACAACTGAAGTATGTGTGGTACTCTGCCCGTGCATACAGTCCTTACCAGGATTGTTGTGATTGTAAGAGTTGTGTTGAAGAGGGTGTCTGTCACATTGATTGATGGAAGAGTTCTCTCCATGGACAGTCCATCTTCGGAATGCCAAATGCCGATCTGCAAAATAACCCACACACACATACAAACAAAGTGAAGATCAGTCATCGAGTCCTTCAGTTAAGAAAGGCCAACAAAAACAATTTGTGCTTAATTTTCTCCTTCCTCACTATCAAAGAATTGGTGTGACCTTCAGACAAGGTAGCAGATCGCTGCGGTGTGAGGCAAGATGATGGAGAAACTCAGGAAAAAAAGCAAGAGGAAATAAAAATAACACGCTTGGCTCCTTGAGGCGTGTGCACAGGGCATGTGTTCAATCAGAGGCAACAGAATGCATTCATTAAAGCAATTACCCGCAAATCCTGTGGCGCAGTGCCAGGCTCTGAGCACAGCTCGAGTGGAACTTGACACCTCCACCTCACAGTGTCTTAACTTGCATCCCAATTCAAACTACCATTGACAGTGAACGGTTTCATTTATTCATTTAAACAACTCAGATTTATCAATCCTAGACCCTTTTTTCAAAACAAGCTTTAAAAACAATCCTGTTTTTATGTGCACTTAATGTAGTTATAGCCCATTCTTTGTCTATTCTGCACCTTTATTTACTTTGTTTTATGAACCTATTTTTTGCATTTGTTTATATTTTTTAAATTATCCTGTGTGTATTTCTTTTTTCTACTGCATATATGTTCTTTAACTAGTGATTTATTTTTTACTAATAAGTTTCAATCATTTTAAAAATTATTTTCTACCCAGATCTCCTATAGAATATAAAGATATGCTATCTAATTTTTGCATGCTTGTAGATAAATAGCAATTAACTGATTTTACTTATATAACTGTTAAAAAAGGCACTTAAGCTTGCATGTATTCTGTATGTAGTAAGAGCTTAAAAACATTTCCCCAAAAAATCCCTATGAATAATGTGATATTTGTTGGCTTTGAGGTTATGTTTTAATAAACCAATAAGCTTGTTAAATCCTGATCATCTATATGTTAAAACCTTGGAGTTTACCCAAGGTGACTTTATTTTACCATGACTAACTGTGCTCAGTGTTTTAAATACAGTATTTCTCCTTCAACAGGACAAATTATGGGTTAATCTCACACATAGTAAAAATAAATTTATTACTGTCTGTGCAGCACACATTAATTGCTAGATAATTTATAATTTTGATGTTATGGAGTATTAAAGTTTCATGATTAAATCATTTGTAAATTACAATGATGAATGCACCGTTTCATCACTTTTGCAGTCTGAGCTCTGATCTCATTTAGCTTATTCAATTATTCCCATTTTCTCGCAATTTCATTGCTTTATTGCAAGAATTACTGAATTTTAAATTAAAGTTCTCCTCATTAACACTTCCTTTATTAATCAAAGAGAACAAAAAATGGCTCATAAAAGGGGAAGGATTAAGGTAAGTTTAAGACATTTTCTAAAATAAAAGCGTGACTTAATTTTACCTCAGCATCAGATGACAAACAAAATTTAAGACATCTGAGATGGTATTTCAACAGTCATTTTAATACAATATTTCGAAAAACAACGTCATGAACAACAGATTGGAAATAGCTGTGAAAAAATCTGTCCGTGATGGTCTGGTTGTAAACAGCAGAGTTAAATAGATACTTTTTTCAAATGTAAAGCAGTTTAAGTTTCCCCTGAAAGTTTTTCAGTGTAAAATTATCCTCATCACCTTCACAGCCCTCCATAGTCTGGCCCCTTCCTATCTCTAAAGCCAGTCACTCTTACATTATACATTATCCGAGGCAGTAAGTAGCCTAAGCCAGTATTAGTTAAAGCTCTTTAGCTAACATAAATTATCTGACACTTAAGCTTAGCAGAAAAAAAGAAGTCATTATTGATGCAATGAAACAGAAAACCTTTGTGGTTGATTTTATTTTAGTAAAGGTCAGACAGCTTGACTTTATGCTGTCGTAGGCTCATCAACTGACATGTAAGCTCTTAAAGATACCAAAGATATAACAACAAACATCAGGTGTTAATTTTTCAGTGAGGGACTTTCTTGTGTCTTATTGTTTCTAGTAATGTGATTTTACAAAGTAATATCCTTTTCCTCATCTTAAGGCAGCTGTAATTAAACCTTCACTTAAGAAAACATATCTTGACGCGTATGACTTAGTCAGTAACAGACCTATATCTAATCTTACTCCTTATCCAAAATTCTAAAGTCAGTCACAATATACTTTTAATATACTTGAAGAACAGCACTAGGTTGGGTTAAATTTTATTTTTCTGACAGATTTCAGTATGTTCTGGTAAATGATAAATCTTCGTCTTGCTCCAGCATTACCTGTGGAGTACTACAGTGATCAGTACTAGGACACGTACGGTAAATATATGCTCCCAACTGGTTGAATTATCAAACAGCTTAGGATTAATTAATTCTGTTATGCTGATGATACTCAACTATATTGGTCCATAAATCCGGATGAAACTAAACCTCTACATAGACTAGAGGCATGTCTTGAAGACATAAAAACCTGCATGACTCTTAACTTTCTGCTTCTGAATACAGATAAAACATTAGTTTTTGTCTTTGGACCAGAGTCTTTTAAAAAGAAGCTGATTAGTCAGTCAATTCATTTGGATGGGATTAAATTGATCTCAGATAACAAAGTAAAAAACTCTGATCAGGACCTGTCATTTAAATCCCACATCAAGAAAAATTTAAGAAAAATAACAAACACTAAAATACACAAGAATAACCGGAGCTGCAATTAAGCAGCTTTCAAAACAATCCAAATGGAGTTCCAAAAGAAAACCAAAAACAGGGCCACACGGATTGTAAGAAAATCAAAAGCAATACTTGTATCTATTATTGATTTTTAAAGATATTTGAGGACAAAGGAAAGCAAAAAAAAACAAAACATCTATCTATCTATCTATCTATCTATCTATCTATCTATCTATCTATCTATCTATCTATCTATCTATCTATCTATCTATCTATCTATCTATCTATCTATCTATCTATCTATCTATCTATCTATCTATCTATCTATCTATCTATCTATCTATCTATCTATCTATCTATCATCTAATCTGCCAGTGAAATAGATCTGTCAGTTGTACAATCTGAATAAACAATATTTTCCAAAAAAATAAACTCTTAAGGACTCTTTAAGGTTTGTTAGAGAACACCAATGAACCAGGGAATATTTCAAAATCAACAAAACCAGAAAACACATTTTTGTTAATATACCAGATTAGAACTCACATCTGTTTCCATCTGAATCTGCTTTGCCCTAGTGTTTTGAATGGTATGAAAATCTGAGGAACATATGGTGCTATATTGTAGTAGCTTTAATGTTTCATCTGGAATAGCTCTGGTGCTCTCTAGTCCATTCCCTCCTTCTGTGCACTTAATGTACAGTCTGTTGATATTGGATTTGGGTTGGGATGCACCATACATGGTGAGTAGCTTTGAAGTTAGATCATCTGTGGTCTGTATATTTTCTTTTGGTCAACTTATTTTCCAAGCAGGAAATTTGATCACTGTCAAGACTGATGTTTGTCCTCACCCTGTTTTTGGCATCAATTCTTTTCTTCTTCTCCTGCACGATATTTCGCAAACTAGTTCCTGTTTTACTTCGGAGCCCAACTGATAACACTATACCTCTTTATTTGAATAACAGAATATGAAAAAAATGAGCTTCAAATTAAAAACTGAGTTAAAAGATAAAAGTCATTGAATACGTAAAGTAGGTTTATAAAATAAAAGTGTCACAAAATAATACTCAAATATGTAATACATAAATGAATAATAAAATACATAAAATATCAGGTTAATAAATCTTTTAATAAATAAGAAAATATTGAGATACAATAAAATAAAAGATGGAAAAAAAATAATTAATAATATTAATTATTATATGTATCAATAGCAGTATTTATGTAATTTAAAATAAAAACGTTTGCGACCCTAGCTAGGGTAAACCGTGAAAGAAAATGGATGGATGGAAGGTTCTCCATAGTCCTTGGTGATTGTGATTGTTTTCCTATTCTACAAAAAAAAAAAAAAAATACAAATAGAAAAGAATATCAAAGATTTAGGATTAAGGTTTACAACCCAAGTTTTGTTTTTGTTTGATCCAGGAGTTTGGAACAGAATTTTTGAATTTAGTAATCCTCTCATCAGAACATCATTCAGCTTGCTGGTTATTTAAAAGCTAAGTTCTCCATGGAGCCTAAAATGTAAGGTGATATGCTGATAGTAAAAATACGTCAAACAAACCACTCAGGTTTTTTTTTTAGTAATTGAACAAACCAAGAAAAAATCCTTAGACTTAAATAAATAAATAAATAAATACATATATATATATATATATATATATATATATATATATATATATATATATATATATATATATATATATATATATATATATATATATATATATATATATATATATGTTTGATTAAAGAATTTCCTTTCCACACATGGTTTGTTACTTAAGTATCTCAGTGTTCCTAGTCTCAACGTGTGACTCTATAGTTTATTAGTTTGCATTTAATGAACAAAATTTGGATTTTATAATATTTCATGAGGTAATTAAGTTACATTTCAATTTTAAAGATATACTTTATTACACCATTATAAAATGCAGCAACTACATAATTCTGCATTTCTATTGGATAATGAAGCATTACATCCACTTTTGTGGACAGTTTGGGTTTTAACAGGCACAACTTTGCTTGTTTCCCCACATATGCGCTTTAACAACATGAAAGGTAGCAGATCCAGAAGGATAATAAACACAGAGGTGCTTTAGTACTGGCCCTAGTATATGAACACCAACTGCTGATAAAAGCAACACTGCTTTGAAGAAGGAGAAAAGCATCAATGCGGCTAACATCAGCTAGAAAGCCACATAGTCACTAAAACATATTGATGCAGGAGTTGAGGCTGGAAGAGAAGAACAGTTTAGTGAAAATGAGACCCTTTGTTAAAGATGCTTCACAAATCCCTGATTGAATAAAAAATAAATAGCAATGTAAACACATTTTTGGTTCAATTGTCAAGAACCGA